GCGCATTGCCGCTGCGACACCAGGGTTCTCCGACTATACTATAAGCTGATGAAGAGACAACCATGCAAGTGGTTCTGGTACATCTGTCCAGAGTGCAGGAAAATGTCCGCAATCCACACAAAAAGCCTGGAGGAAATGCTCTCCGCCAAGCAAGAGCTATCAGTACCCTCGAATAAAGTAGAGTTAACATTAAAGGATAACACAGGGGGACATGGAAGCAGACCTAGAGCTCCAGCTGCGGGCACGCCACCTCGCCTGGGAACCACATTAGATCAAGTCTCCATATCTGTTATCCGGCCTCAGGGAACGTCGGGCGCATGGCCAAAGACACTGACCGCTGAACCCTCTACGAAACCCACTCCAAACATCCCACACACCGGGGCCGAGAGACAACCAGACTCAAACTTACTGGAAAGTCTGGCGTGCTACCCACAACGAACCCAGGTCACAGGAGGACCAACTCGATCATTTTGTTCAACGTCGATGTATTGGTAGACTCATTGTTGGTCGAGAGGGAACGGTTTGACAGCCGAATGTGGACCGACTACTGTCGGATGCTGGGACCCCCTCTCCTCCCTGCAACTGTGTCGCCTTCCTCAAGGAAACCGTCCACCCTGAGATAAGCCACCCCCTTTACATGTGTCCCTAAATGCTGCCAGAGTCTGAAGACACCTCCTTCTCTCGCAACACCCGGACGTTGTTTATGCCTGCAAAATTCGGGCCGGGCCTGACAAGCCGTGGTCAACAAGAGAGGAGGAGGGAAAGTCGGTGGTTGGAAATCGCAACAGAAACAACACTATAGTTGTACATGGGATTCCAGAGCTGCCAAGTGACGGCTAGGTTAAAGATCGGTACTTTCATGACGTCCAACAATGGCGACGGCTCTCAACCAAAGTTGGCCTCGACAGTATACCGGCCAACAGCGTCAGTAGACTGCCGAGGCCAAAGTATCTAAAGTCCATACCCTATCCGGACTACTCGCCATCCAGTTCGACTCATATGCCTCCCTCACAGACGTTCTGCACGCATGGTATAATTCGAAAGATCTCATGGGTGGCTCAATACACATGTGCGAAAGTAAGCCTAGGCCCACAAGGCAAGAGGAGAGACGGCAACCACCAGGACCTCTGGAGTCAGTGGTCGTCACACAGGCGCTGACCAGTGAGTTAGATACATCAAGTGAAGCCACCACTGCCACAGTCCCCACCCAAGTTGAAAACAAAACACAAAAAAGGAACAATGCCAGTCCTATGAGGAGTGGAGACGCTGAATCCAACCACGTAAGCGCTCATCCCGCGGAAGTACACAACCAGATCTCCCTCTCACCAGGCACACTCTAGTATGTGTGTACAGCAACGTTAGAGGGAAGGTAGAAGAAATGAGGACATCAGCATTCCGACATCATATTCATCACCGAATCCTGGCTCTCGTCGGACATCTCCGACGGAGAGATGCATGTTACTGGCATGGAACTCTTCCGCAGGGACAGGGAACATAGAGCAGGAGGGGAAGTGGCTCTCTACGTAAGTTCCAAAGGCAAGGATGGTTAGCGATACGGCCTTAACCCAGCTCCCAGAGTCTCTATGGTGCTACTTCACTCTCCACAGTACCAAATACCTGCTCGGAGTCATATATCGGTCCCCCACCAGCTCCCCTACACATAAGGAAATGATCATCAAGGCTATCTTAACGACTTCCTCTGCAAATTACGATTCCGTAGTCATTGCCGGCGACTTCAACACCCCGTCCATCCTCTTCGAGACGGAAGGGAGACGCATCAGATCCTTCAATCAGAAGCTGAAGGATGCAATTAAGACTGCTGGCCTCTCAGAGAAAGTGGGTGATGCTACACGCTGGGGACCTAACGGAAACGCATCGCGCCTTGACTACGTTCTGACGAACGATGAACTTCTCATTGAGGATGTTTGCATCCAACCTCCCCTTGGCCTCAGTGACCACGCTGTAATCACCTTCTCCATGATAACTAGGGAGGCTCTGCAACTGGAGACGCCCAACACCTTCCCTTGCTACAGCAAGGCCAACTATGAGACCATGAGGGACTACCTCATGAATGCATCATGGCCAGTGGACTGGACTCATCTCACAATAGATGAACACTGGTTGGAGGTGAAGAAAATAATCACTGGGGCCATCAGTCACAGTGTACCAGAAGTAACACACAGACAATCAATGAGAACCTCATGGTTAAAGCGTGGGACAGAGAGGCTTATCCGGAGCAAGAAGCAGGCTTGGTTCAAGTGGCTTACATCACGCAGGGAGTCTGACTTCTTGAACTACAAAAGGATTCGCAATCTCTGTAACATTAGAGTGCGTAACGACAGATTTTCCTACCAAACAAACTTGGCAGCGAGGTTACAAAGCAACCCCAAAAACCTGTACCGCTTCATGTCAAGAAGAAAGTCGACCAGTAAGGGAGTGAATCTTGTCACAGGCCATGACGGGAGTGTGCTAAGCAGTCTAGAGATTGCCGAGCTTTTGAGCTCACACTTCCAAGCCCAACTCAGCACTGACACAAGATCCACACCGACTCGCCACGACACCGACCAGGTCGCAAATAACGAATACCTCTGTCACGTCTCTATTACAGAGAAAAAGGTGTTCGAGAAGCTATCTAGGCTACGTCCGGGCAAGTCCCCTGGCTGCGATAACCTGAAACCAGTGGTTCTGAAAAACTGCGCCGAGGTGCTTACCAAACCACTTCGCAACCTCTTTGAGCACTCAATAGACTCGTGCAAACTCCCTAAAGAATGGAAGAGTGCCATCTTGTCACCCATCTTCAAGGGAGGAGACAGAAAAGCCCTGGCAGCTACAGGCCGATTGCCCTACTCCCTATTGTGTCGAAAGTGTTGGAAAGCCTGGTAGCTGACACCATCTGGGAATTCCTCAATAGGAAAACACTGTCCACACTGCTCAGCACGGCTTTCGTAGTGGTCGCTCATGTGCCACCAACTTACTAACCGCCTGGGACGACTGGACACAAAGCTGGGATAATAGAAAACCTGTACATGCTGTATTTCTCGACCTAGCCAAAGCATTTGACAGTGTCCCACCCACAGTACTGCTTCACAAGATCATGTCAGCTGGTATAAGTGGACCCCTACTCTCTTGGTTCAAGGAGTACCTGGAAGGGAGGCAGTTCTGCACTAAAGTGAACAGAATAAGGTCGGAGTGGAGACCCTCGACGTCAGGAGTATCCCAAGGAGCAATCCTAGGACCGCTTCTGTTCCTCCTGTTTGTCAACGATCTGCCAGACAAAATATCCTCACCCATCCTCCTCTTCGCTGACGACATAAAAATTTGGAGGGTGGTAAACGAAGAAGCCGACTGTGCAGCACTACAAAAGGACTTGCAGCAACTCGAGCTCTGGTCGTCGGAAAATGGCCTGAGCTTCAACTGGAAAAGTGCAAAGTAATGCACATCAGTAAAAATGAGGCAAGTACGACCGACTTCCAGTACATGTTGAGCAACCGTGCTATCACCAGAGTGTCCATGGAGAAAGATTTGGGGCTCAACTTCTCCGACACCTTGGACACCAGCTCCAACTACAAAGGTATGACAACCAGAGCGAACGCCATTCTACACTTTCTGCGTAGACAGCTTGGCGCCCTCACTCCCGAACTCTTCCTCACCATTTTCAAATCCTACGTGCGGCCGCACCTAGAGGTCTTCAATACGGTGGCTCCTCCAACACTCAAGAGAGACTCTAATCTCCTTGAAAGAATACAAAGAACTGCAACAAAATCAGTTGTGGGGCTAAGGGGAAAGACGTATCCTGAAAGACTTAAACACCTCAACCTATTTACCTTGGGTTATCGCAGGAAAAGGGGTGACCTCATTATGGCATACAAGATCGCCCATCAGGCAGACCATGCAAACAAATCAATTTTGCCTGCAACTGAACGATCTTCACGAGGAAACCCCATTAAGATAGCACACCAGAGAGCCAACACCACACTCAGGTCCAAATTTTTCTCCCTGAGAGTATGTGCTTTATGGAATGCCTTACCGCGACACATCGTTATAGCTCCTTCAGTCGACTCTTTCAAGAGGCGATTAGACAGTTATGTCACCTCGCATGGACTACCACGGACGTACTCAGGTAGTCACCAACCTCAGTACCCCCAACTCCCTCCTAACTACCACTCACTATCTCTCTCCTTAATACACCCACATTACCTACTAATTCTTCTGTAGGAACCAAACCCACGCGACCATTCATGCAATTCCCAAATACTTTTCTTTCGTTCTCATTTCTCTTTTCACCCCTCCTTTTCTCCTTTCCCTTTTCTCTTCCCTATTATTATTTTTTCTCCTTTTTTCTTTTTTCTTCTCTTTTCACTCTTTTACCACTACCCTACTATTCTCTTTCAGGTACCTACACAGACAGGAGTCACGGCAGTTCTCTAAACTTCCCAGCAACCCGTAGCTCCCCAATCACTCTACAAATTACAACTTACTAACCCACAAAACATCCACCCCACCGAAGCTAAAAGCAAGAAAGCAGAGGGGATTTCCTCGTCTACTGCAGGAGTGAACCGAAAAACTCGGGCCAAGCCCTAATTACCAGGCGCGAGAGATCAAAAACTACCAGTTTTCTACGCTCTCACTATCAATATTGGATATTGGATACCAGGTTCATATAGTAGAAAAATAAGAGCCTACGAGAAAATCCTTAAGAGATAAACTCAGGAAAGAAGGGTGGAATTTCGTGTTAAACTAAGAAATCAAATTGAGCAAGTAGAAAAACCTTTGAGAACTAGATATAAGGTTTCAAAAACTGTCAGCTTCCTGTTGCCAAGCTATTATCGTTGGTTTCTGGAAGTTGAACTGTACTCACAAGATTTATGTTTTCTGTTTTGCAATAGAAAAATTCGAAAGAGGTACTATTTATTTTATCTTGCAATCAAAAAGTAGCTGACGTTCTTTTTTTACTGTATCGAGAAAAGTGACTTGTCATTTGTGGTTATTCAAAAAAGGCGATGCAGCTACTGGATTTGTATTCCCTTTTGATCCGCTCGGGTGGTGTGCTCATATCATACCTTATCTATGGTATTTATCAAGAGAAAATGTAAGCTAAGTGGTTTGGGGCTTATCATATCGCTTCTTAGTACCAAAACTAAGTATGGCCCAGAAAAAGAGCCTTTCGATTTCTTTTTTTCCCTCCTGCTATTGCAGTGCATAGTAAACTTTATTTTTGCAAAAATGGGTTGGTCTATTATTCTCAATGAATTATTATTCTTGCTAGCTCTTAAATTTTGTCCGGAACCCTTGAACTCAGCTGAGGAATATAAATTTGCTGTGTGTGGTTTTACATATATTGCCGCGATGTACACTGGCAGTACAAGTTTGAAGTATGTTACATATCCCACTCAGGTACGCTTTTTTGCTGATAACATTTTGTACGAAGGTGATAGGCAAGTCTGTCAAACCAATACCTGTCATGTTGTTGAGTGTGTTGCTAGCTAAACGACGTTATCCTCTGCAAAAGTATATTTTTATGGCGATGATTTCCATTGGTGTTACACTTTTCATGTTTAAGGGGCATTCAGCGGCTGTTCTAACAAACCACTTGACCTTCGGGGAGTTACTTTTGGTATGATATAGCAATCCCATTCATTAATGGTGTTAAGCTCTTTTCATTACTTTTCGATGGTATTACTGGAGGTGTTCAAGAACATTTGAAAAGGCATAATGTTGGTCCATACTCACTCATGATGTGTATGAACGCTTGGTCAGTCACTTATTTGCTTCTAGGTAAGTAAAAAGTTCACTTTGCTTGTGCACATTTCTGGGGTTTAAAGTTGTTTAAGAAACCTGGTAATACGTATTCACTGATGTCCCAGGCTTTCCAGCAGTAGGTTATCAGTTGAAACTTCATTTTACCGATGAGAATTAATTGTGGTAGTGTTGTCATGAGTTCAACGTCATAACGTTTCGCTAACGAAGCTATGTTATAGAAAAAAATCAAAATAGCACTTGGCATTATTGCATGACGGTCCAAGTTGCCAGCACGTTAAACAAGAATGCACTAAGCTTGTAGATAAGGAAAGAAAGGAAGTATTCAAAACTGGTAGAGAAGAGTGCAAGGAAAAATAAAAGAAGGCTAAAATCCAGTTTGATGATAATGATAAAGGTAAGATATAGAATCATCTGCGCCACAGATCGATTCTGAGCTACGTGACTTAGAGTCTCCAACCTCTGGTTTCTGTCATCACGAGGTCCCTGACCAGGAAGTCTGCATTTCACTACACGGCTAAAACCAGCAGTCAAAGACTTCACGAACTGATGCCATATCTTAGTCTGGTCGCTGCTAACCCTCTTGTAGCTTGAACCTACTTCAGCTACGGTGTGCAAAAAGGTGATGAATAGGCATGCGTAACATATTTTCCAGCCACCTGAACAGTGAAGGACCACAACATCATCAACTGACTCTCCCTCCTACCTAGAACTCTGCACCTGACTTCTACATGACTGATGTATTGACCATGACATGGCCCATGGTTCGAAGGTAACGGTGATTGAACACCTGAAGCCACCTCATGTCCTCTATCTTTAACACTCATATTTCACGGCCTTACATTAGAGCAGAGTTAACAGCATCACAGTACACCCAGTCATCAATATTAACACAGGACCAGGCATAACTACATAACTGTTCAAGTTGCCAAACCTCATAACAACACATCAAGCAGTAAAATGAAAGATAAAGAAACAGATTAGAACCAGTCAAAAGCAGCATGACAGTTAAGATGAAAATAATGTGTGGATATTCTCAGTGGACAAATACGTATCGCTGCTGCGCGATAAATGGCCTAAGTTGGCAAAAGCCTTTTGTATCTGTGTCAAGATTTTGTTGGTCAATGGCACACCAAATCTGTTCTGACTTCCTAGGGAAGTTACTGGGTCAACACACTCAACCATTTCACTCCCCATGGTCAGATGGGGCACCACCACAGACCAGTCCCGATGCAACAAGTTGCAATTGGATGGTGAGAATAACATCTCGTACATTCTAAAATCGTCAGTTTAGGTGTCCAGAAGAGTACATCTTGTTAGCGTTTTCATCCGACAGGACTATGTCATCTGCGTACTCTAAGGATTCTCATGTGGTAAAATCAGTCCCTGTAAAATCAGACAACAAGAAGTAAACATCCACGTGTATGTCTGTGATAAAGTTGAATACGAATAGAGAGAGTGGAGGTCTTTTACGGATACTACTTGACGTACAAAATTTACTTGATAAGTTACCGCAGGCTCTAAGACGCCCATGGGTTTTCGAGTATAGAGCTTTAAACGGAGTGGTGTGCTTACTAAGCAACCCTTACAGTCAATGAGACACTGCCATAAGACCTGTCAATCGACAGAGTCGAATATCTTCTTGGAGTTGAGAAATAAAACCAGTTGTGAGACATCGGCAAGTGTGTCTGTGTTCTAAGATCTAGGCGATACACCTAAGATTTGACCTTTTTGGGTTTGCAGTTCCTCAGCTTCTCATAGGTATCTTACAGACAATGCTCGTAAAGCTGATTCCCATGTGTCTATCATAGGGGAATTTCTCTCTCTTCTTGAAAACTGTGATAGTTATTGGTGGAGATCAGTCAGAGGGATGGTATCTGATTCCCAGTACATCATCGCGTGTGCGTGATGGGATAACTATGTTAGCAATTTATAGTCGGGTTGTAGAGTTTCACTTGAAAAGGATAAGTCAGTTGATGAGTTTTTAGAAATCTTAGTTTGCCAAGTTAGTTGTATCTTATGTTACTCACGCCAATACCCCCAGCACGGAGTTTTAGCTGAAGTAGGTTTAAGCTGGTAAAAAGTCAAGAGTAGTCAATAAGAGACGGTATCAATTGATAAAGTATCTGGCTGTTGGTTTGACCTTCGAGGAAAGTACGAGTTTCTTAAAGGGGTTCAACAAGACAAGCGAAGCCGTTTGTTAGAAACTCCACTTCATTTGGCTTAAAACTGATTTCAGTGGCGAAGATATATCCACATCTATTCTCGTCTTGATGGTTGTACAAGTGGTTGAAGGTTGCTGGTGGTCTCGAAATCGATCACAATGATGCGAAATTATTCACTGATTGTCATATTCAGATTTTTGAATTTTTCTCCTTTCTTCTTATAGACTTGTCCACTTTAATGTCATTCTTTTGCTGTTAACATTAAATAGTGTTGTGAGGTGTGATAACTATAATCGCTGCACTTCAATGCAAGTTTTGACGTTAACTTCTCTGCCTACCTACATCAAATTTTGATATTCACTGTATCTCTTCACCTTTCTAGAACTTTGGATTATATAGTCAACATTATTTTGTCTCTTTTCTTTTTGTCTGATATCTTTATTTGTTTATGTGGGATATGGTGAGTTGGACCGTTAAGTAGTAATGCCAAGACCCATGTTGGTAATGACTGACTGGTTTAATCACTCACTGTGCTCATCTGTTTGTCGTGGAAAAAAGTCCTATTTATTAAATATCACTAAACAGGCTTTATTGTCTCTACTGCTTTTCTCTTTTAATCGCTGTCACGGTGGAAAATAGTTCCTCATTTGTCTTTTTGTTTCTTTCAGCTTGGTTGTTGTATAAATTCTCTATTTACTTTATTTTGTTAAGCAATTATGGTCAATGGGGAGGCTTTCCCATTTTTGGAATTTGTAAATCGTCATCCATATGTACTTTCTGATATGGCCATTTTCTCAGTGTTAAGCGCTATCGGCCAGGTTAGTTGATATTTTTACATCATATTTTAAGATAGTAATTATTGATTTGAGTTACACGCCGTAGTTTTGCTTTCAATGTAGCGTAGACTACACAGTTTTTTTGTAGCTTGTGCAACAGGAAGTAGTTTTCTGTTATTTGGGGAAATAACTGTCGCCTATCTTTAATGCGGCCTAAGTACCAATACAGTTTCTGATTGCTGTTACCAACTCTGGTTATCAGATAGGAATTGATCAGTCATAAGAACAGTTATCTTAATGGAAAAAACTGTGTAACTTATCCGTATATACAGATAATTACAGGGCTTGTAAATAAGGTTGGAATTTAAAAATGTTGGTAAATACTCCATATTAGATTTGTTTATTTGAAATATAGCGCTCAGTGATACTGTGCGCTAGTATGGAATTGCATTCTGCCACAGTGCCCAAGTTTTACACTTACATTCATGTTGGTAAATACTGTTATTTTCTCTACTGCTTGCTTGAATCTATCATTCTGATTGTTTCACTGCTGATTTGCTCTAGCGTAATCCAGCAATATCACGTTCTTGTCGTCATGTTTTCTAAATTTCGTGTCAAAAGACTTTCCTTCCAAATAACAGTCGTCTTTGGGGTGGTATTCATCATGGACGGACATCAGTAGGAGAACCATTGAAAACCTGGGAGCACTGGAAAGTTGTTTCGTTCTAGTATGGGGCTCCTCAGCAGCACAACCTCGCCAAGGACCGAACTCAGGACCTTCATATTTCACGGCGAACGCGTTAACCATTCAGCCACGGAGTCAGAGTTCAGGGCACTACAGTTCCCTACTTCTGTTAAGGTCATCAGTTGACATCCCTTTCACTTCCGTTTGGTTGACCCCATAAGTTTTCTTAGTTGTTATTAAGACATACTGTGTCACCGATGCGATTCAAAAGTACACTATTTAATCAAACAATTACCAGTGAGAATTTGGATAAAACTAGTTTAAGATATTCCTGACTGTTTTTTATTACCCAACCAGTTGCCAATCAGATTATCCTAAAGAAATAGGAAACCGGAACAAATTCATTTTTCACTCCATACTGATGATAATGATGGCGAAAATTCGAGTGCATTTATGCATTTTGAGAAATTGACCTCATGGATAAGAGTACAAGTTTGCGGATTCTGATTAGAAATTTTGTATGAGTTTTTAAAATTCTGTGACATATTTGTAAACTTACTTTGTCTTATCTCCTAACCAGGTGGTCATTTTACCTTTTTGAGTTTGATTTTTTTTTATCAGCACACCCAACCTGACTCATCACAGAAAAATAGGATTGTTCAGGGTATCCGGAACCTAAGCACTTACTTTTCTAGATTCGTAATAATTACGATTAAAAAAACTGTGTACAATATTCCCAATTCATGATAAAAATGAAAAAAGCAGGTGCAGTTCAAGTACCAAACTTCCCCACACCCTTGGAAAAGCAAGAAGGTTCAGATTACTTTCAGTTCTCGATTCGATATTAAAAAAGGATCACATGATATGTACATATATGTACATATGCACATGATATGTATTACTGACCTATGTGAAAAGTTGAAAAATAATCTAGAAGTCAACATAATTGAGATCTTGTCTTTCAAAGGAAGTCATCTTAAGGTCTTATTGGATCTTAAAAACATCGTTTCTGATTCTAAATTTACTGTACTACAACAGTGATGCCAAGATACTGTACGTTGAATGCAAGTATTTGAAACATGTCAAATATTGTTAGACTTTCATGTCACCACTAACTAATGTGCATATATCTGGTTCGTATTGATACACAAAGATTTAGAGATTGTTAATTCAAACAGCGCGTTTGTTTTAATAAGAGCTGAATTGAACTTTGAACTAGAAAACCCTTGGTTGGTTACATAAAACAATTCAGTTCATTTTAAACCTGCCAAAAATTATCATCTGGTATGTTTATGAACACTCCCTCATAACTACTGGTTTAATGTAGTTATGATAACTCAAAAAGTGTATACCATGTAGGCAAATTTAAACTTTCCGAATGGGGTGCTCGTGGCAACCAACAGAGTTGTTTAGAGACTTTCAGTGATATGGCTAAGAATCGATCTCACGAGTGTATATGCATATTAATCGCCCTATCGAATTTTGTTGTTGCCTTCGCCGTTATACATCACCATCATCAATATCAACATAGGACCAGGCATTACTGCGTAACTGTCCGAGTTGAACTGAAACTCATTGGTCAAGATAGTTAGCTTTCAACCAGTGGGTCATTAATGAAAACTTCACTTCACCTACAGAGGTTTGAATGACTAAGCAGATTTATTAGCTGTCGCATAATAGGTGTGGCTCTTTGTCTAGTGCATGAACATACTGAAAAAGTTTGATAGTCACGTTCTAGTCATTTCTCCATGTTTCATCTTAGTGCCTCGTACCTTAATGGGTTGGTTTGGAGTATGGCAACTGAGACAGTCATACAGTAATGCCACATCCCTTGTTACCATTGGCTAACTGACAAATGTAGGCATTTATTATAGACTGAATTGAGTAGACAAAATTTCTTGGGTTACGTATAATCCTAGGCATAGCATTTTAAGCATTTCAGATGTTAGCTATTTAAAGTTGTTATTTCATCGTAGACTGACATCACTTGGAGGAACAAAGGAAACCTGGGAGCACTGGACAGCTGTTTCGTCCTAGTATGGGACTCCTCAGCAGTGATATTGTTTAAAATATAAGAAATGAAGTTGAAAACAAAAATAACTGAAAAGATTACCAGGTAAACTAACGCACTGGGTTTATGAGATTCATATGATGAGTTGTTGAAGTAAAATTCACTAGTCACATCTTTCAACTAAGATAGAATTTTGAATTAAGGATCACAACGACATACTCATCCATTTATATAGAAATAAGTGTGTGTTATATCCTTTGAAATTCTATCTTGGTGGTGAAAACTTTTTGTTTTATGTCTTCATTTCTACTTTTCAGATATTCTTATTTGGTTTAATCACAAATTTCAGTGCACTGACTTGTTCAGTTGTTACTACAACACGAAAATTCTTCACAGTTCTCTTTTCCATTATTCTGTTTGATCATATTATGACAAGTCGTCAGTGGATAGGAACTATATTAGTATTTTCTGGTTTGATACTTGATCAAATCTATGGTAAAACACATTCTAAACAATCATCGAAAAGCAGTAATACCAATGGAATAGTTAAACCTACTACAAGATATAATAAATCTGAAGAAATTAAAAATGGATGATGACTTCTAAGTGCAATTTATTGTATACGCATATATATATATATATATATATATATATATATATATATATATATATATATATACATAAATATGCATTTCATTATCTAGTTTTGTTCCTGTGATGTTATCCTTTTATTTCTCTGTTGTTCGTATATCGTGTTTTTCTAATTTCATTTCCACTATTTCCTCTCAATATAACACGTAAGGTATAGTTCTATCTTTTGCTGTGAAAAAATCTTTACATCATTTAGCAATATCAGGTGAAGAAAAGAATAATGAATCCTAAGGATAACTGAAGAACGTTTTAATCCTAAATTGAAACTATTCAGTTATGCACATATATTAGAGGATGGCACTCAAGCCTATTGATAAACTACTAGATTATTATTATTATTATTGTTATTACTATTATTAATGTGTTAGTAGTTTCCTAAGTTGTGCCCATCGATTTCTTTGACCTCCCATTTTTCTCTCTATTAAATGTGGACAAAATAATACGGGAAACGCTAATAACACAATGAGACACTTGGACTAAATACAAATGGTCACTATTCTTCTTCAGACTTGATATTTCACTGAGCCACGTAAATCATAAGACAAAGACCGGCTTGTGACTGTAAGGAAGATAACTTTATTTGACAAGAAGCACATTATTGATATGCAGTTTTTCCTCAGAAAATAAAGCCATTAGGTTAGAAGTTGGATACTTATTTTCATTGGTAAACTGAAGGACAAAGTTGTCCAATAAGGTTTTTCCTTGTCCATACAGTAGCATGGAAGCGAGGTTAGAATCTAAAACTTCTGTCTTAGTGGCTGATAAATTAAAATGTTGATTTTAATTTAACTTGCTTTCTGTTATAACTGTTAGTAAAACTGAATTCAAATAAATTAGGTTCAGTTATTCACTTCATACAGTCTAGATTTATATTGTACTAGCAACTGATAAACATTGGTCCCAGTAATATGAGTTTGCAATATAATGTGCGTTAGGTGTGGATTTCTGAACTCATTGAAAGTTTTTTCAGAACGTTCTCCAGAGTTATCCAAGCAATTCGAGCCGTTATTTTACCTTAGATATTTGGTCCTGTAACTCTGTCTTATCCTGATTGTGGTCGACCGGATCATGCGGCAAACAGTGAGGAGCGAGAAGAGGGAGATACGCTGGACCGCGGAGAAGATCCTAGAAGACTCGGGTTTCGCCGATGACTTGTGTCTAATGTCACACAGAAGAGGCAGTGAAGACGGGACTTCAAGTAAACGTAGAGAAGACAGAGGTGATGATGATACCCAACTAACGCCACCACCACCAACAACAAGCTCCAATCACCATCAAAGGGAAAAACTTGAACGAAATAGCCTCTTTCACTTATCTAGGCAGCATCGTTTCAACTACAGGCGGCACAGACGAGGACGTCAAAGCTAGCCAGGATCGGAAAGACAGCAAGACAGGCGTTCATTAACCTGAAACCAGTGTGGAGATCTTCTGCGCTCAGCATGAAGCGTGAACAAGATGTGGATTTTCAACACCGCCGTCAAGTCAGTGCTTCTATATGGTTCGGAAACTTGGCGCGTCACAAAATGGCATTTCCAACAAACTGCAGATATTCATCAACAACTGCCTACGCTGGCTCATTACTGAAGGTCAGATGGCCAGAAAGAATAAGCAACAAGGAACTCACTCTGGCTGTCAACGAACCAACTAACCAAGAACCTATCACTCAACAAATATGCACTGGAAGGAAGTGGAGATGGATTGGGCATGTACTGAGAAGACCATTCGGGGACATTACGCGCCAGGTAAGGCACTCGAGTGGAAGACAGACGGGAAACGACGAGTTGGGCGTCCCAACTGATGGTGACATGTAGGAGATGGTGTGAGGAAGAAATGAGAGCTTGTGGACAGTTGTGAAGCGAGGTTCAAAAGATTGCTTGGAAATTGAGTGGAATGGAGACGTGCTACTGAAGGCGTATGTTCCACTTGGAACCCAAGGGACAAATAAATATAATAATACTATGATGATTTTACGTAAGTTATTTACTCCGATGACATTATTAAGTAGGAAATCAACACTATCCTTAAGTTTTGTGGTATGAATGGATATTCAGGTAAGTTTATAATCAGCTATATGAATTAGTTGAGTGTTAAACCTATCTACCTAAAAATCCAATTCAAAGGTTAATTATCGGTGAGAATACACTTAGTGTGGTAAAACCACAACCCATCTTCTACAGTTGACCAGGTCAAGGTGCAATGAGTAAAAATGGGCTGACTGATTTTATTTTTACTGTGTGCAATTACTATAAGCCTAACTGCCACATGAAGCAAGTTAAATCAGGGATTAGTGGCGTTCTTTATGGTTATCAAAAGAAGAGATAAGTTCTGCATTTTTCAATGTAGTGAGACTGCTAAACAAGTAAGCCTTTCAAAATCATACTTAACTGTCTACGACACAGACTGAAAGTCATTACTGTTCAGTTTGACAAATCAAACCTTTGCATCTAGAATCAATGTGCGAAACTTCTTCCACTACCTTGCTTATCTAAGAAATTTAACAATTTGCACATGATCCTTTCCTACTCTTAAAATCACTTTTCGTTTCCCTGCTCTTACTTAATTACTGTTTGAATATCACTTACCAAATCTATTCATTATTCCCGTCCTTTTATGTACAATTAGTCAAGTAACAACCTGTTACACTTTTTATCAACTGTTTATAATTATGTAACTCATTGATTAACGTCCTCATTTTTCTGGTTATCAACTTCATTTATTGTTATTTATCCCCTGGGTTCCTAGTGGAACATAGGGCTGCAGTAGCACGTCGCCATTCCACTCTATGCTCTTCACTGCGGTCTTTTTCTTTAACCTGACTCCACCACTAACCCCAAACTTTCATTTCTCCCCCACACAATCTTCTCCATCTCACCCTCAGCTGAGACAACCAACTCGTCCTTCTACATTCCCGTTCCACTCAACGGTGTCACCTGGCCTGACACGTCATGTCCCCAAGTGGTCTCCTCAGTGTGTCCCCAATCCATCTCCACTTCATTCTCCTGCACATTTAGTGGTAGATGGGTTCTCGGTCGGTTGGTTCGTTGCCAGCCAGTCACAATAACTTCCTTGTTGCTTATTCTCATTATTCTCGTCATCCGATCTCCATCTTCACTATCGAATGAGCGTAGGTGGCAACTGTTCATGTATGATGTGTGTAGTTTGTTGGAAATGGTTTTGGTGATGCGTCAAGTCTCTCAACCATCACATAGAGGCATTGACGACATTAGTGTCAACTTCATGAGTGACGCTAAATTTTCACTTACATATAATTATCCTACTACTAGTGAATTAGTACTTTGATAATAAGCGGAAACCTAAATATTAGTGTAAAGCAGCTGATGAAGAGCTCAATTCTTTTTTTTAACACCTTTTTTTTTACCAACTTATGAACTATGAAAAAAAATCAAATGTAAGTGATGATATAGCCTCTCAATTAATGTATCTAATCAGTAGGCTATGGGTATATAAACTATTGATGGGCTTCCCAATTTTCCGTACGTTTAAAGGAAAAGTAGAATGCTGAGTTTACTTTCAGGATAGGATTCATTTTGAAGTCAGTTACTTAAGAGGCAATAGATAGTACTGACAGATATGCTAAATTCTTTTTTCTTATACTGCATTTGGTTAACTGTTACCAATTCAGTAATATACTAATTCAGTTCGAAGTGGATTATCCTCACTTGATCTTCCTGTTTTTCATAAGTCACACCAAATGGTGGATTGTGATTATTTGAAAAGGCTGAAACCATCCAAAAGATTATTGACTTTATAATTTTAATTGAGTTCTGAGGGGTTCGTGGGAATTTAGAGATATTTCCAGTTGGTATTCATCGAAGACTGACACCAGTTGGAGGAACAGTGGAAACCTGGGAGCACTGGACAGTTGTTTCGTTCTAGCATGGAACTCTTCAGCAGTGGGCACGCACGACCCCTCCCCCAGGGACAAATACTCAGTGATGACATTAGGTGACGGTCGCGCTATGTGGTGAACTGACAGAAGTCGGGAATACGGACCACTGGGCCCCGATCCAGTGGCTCGATCCCTGGCGAGGCCATGGGTACTCACTCCTGAAGAGTCCCATACAAGTGGGACGAAACAGTTGTCCAGTGCTACCAGGTTTCCATTGTTCCTCCAATTGATGTCAGTCTGCGATGAATATTTACTTTACTATTTTACCCTCAAAATGTTGTAATCTCCCGTACACTTTCTGTATTTTATGTAGAAGTAGCTATTTCTCCCTTACCCAATGACTTTATAATCAACATGTATAGTTGGTTTATATATTTTTAAAAAGTCAGGCAAATGCACCTTCTATTAAATTTAAGTGTAGCTGTACACGTTGTTAAAAAAGTTTATGTTTTTTACTGCCTGAAATCTTGTTCTTATTCATAAATAAAACGGTACATTTCATCAATTCTTTTCAACTTCTATTACACGCATCATTAACTGTGTTTACAGTAGTTTGAAATAGGTAAAAAGTAGACTTGAGTGAATCCAAAACAAATAGCTTTAATGTTAAAATTGAGAGGTTTTAGTCATAACTAGGTTTTTTAATATAGCTATTACTAAACATTTTGTGTTGTCGAATCAGCTTTGACTGGCACTAGTCAGTTATGACAGCTAATATCCTAGTTGCCTGACTTTAATATAACTTTAGAAATAAGACTTCAACTCGGGGGTAGTACCTCCTGTTACCTTCTGTCTGTTTAATTAACATTCCATAGCAAGAAGTGTTGTAGAAATGAAAATTATCTAAAAATCAGTTTGTTTATTGGATGAATGTCAGTCTTCTGTGGTAAGTATAGTAGACCATTTTGCCTGTGTGTTAATCCTTTGGATAGATATCTCTGTGAAGAAAACTCCTTGAAGGCGTTCACCGAAGGAGTTGATACCACTTGCTGATGTAAGACATCCTACTTGTTGACCACTGAATGGGAGAAACGCACAATCATCCC